ACTGTTTAACTTACGATAATCAACTGCAAACCTATACGCGTCCGAGTGTTCAGGCGGTAGCCTGTTCTTTTTTCTACAAAGGACCACCGGACTTGCGTACGGACTCGTGCTTGGCACAATTATTTTGTTTTATAGCATTTTTTCAATATGTTTTTCAATAATTGCTTCTTTCACTTTGTCATATCTGTACAGCTTCGACCGGACTGGAGGGGCATTACCTGTATCTATGAAATGATTAACTACCTGACAAAAACCAGGTTTGTTGTTAAACAAAGAATTGAATTTTCTTACAAATCTTTCGATCTTCCCTTTCTCTTCAACTTCAGGTGTTTTAAGCCCAATTCCGGCAGACACCCTTCTTCTTCTTCTTCTACAGGATCCGTGTGGACCTGAAACGTAGAATTCTGGAAATTAAGATTTGCGCCGGATGCGCGTAAAAAATCGACCTCCAATATGACGGTCGTGAGTAAATTTTTCACGACTGGAAAATTAACTTTTGACACCTCGTTTTTAATCTGAACGTACAGTGCGGTTTTTCCCAAACATATGCACTGTTTGCCTTTGGCGGCAATTACTTTTTGTCCCGTGGCTTTAAACAGTCTGTAACGACGAAATGCTTTCTAAAAAAATCTTCTGAGAAGAATGAAAATTGCGCCCCTGTGTCCAGGATTGCAGTGGTTGGTACATTATTTACCAGAATCTGTATCTCTGGCATAGCTAGATTTTGTACCACCACTGTATTTAAATAAATTTCTGAGGGGGTCTTCCTTCCCCCTCGGTGATCGTTGCCCCTTCTCGATCACCGGTTTGCGTTTAAATTCCGGTCTCTTTACGCTGATTTTTCTTTCTGCCACCCTTTGCTTTATCTGCGCTCTTGTTATTGAACTTTTCACTTTTACTCGTCTGCCGATACGCGTTGTACTGAACTTTGAGTTTTTTTAGGTTTCTTTTGAGGAGTGAATATTGAGTACTGGCCAAACTGACTTGCACGCGCTTTCTCCGAGTTTCTTCTACGTTGGAATTTCATGCTGAAATAGAACTTATAATGTTTGCGGATTACGGACTTCGAAGAAATCTTGTGCTGACGGTAGAAGATGCAGTAAAATTACTTCAACAAGTTCATTATCGGGCCTTTTGCCGTATAATAAATTAGAAATTTGTATTTTTCGTAAAATAAATTTCGTCAACTCATCGAAATTGCTTTGATATTTACTAAACAATTCTGATTCAAGCTTCGCACGATCTTTAACGACTGAAAATGCTTTTTGTAATGCAGACTTGAAATTTTCCCAGTTATACGAGTCCGATCCTGGGTCCCCCAACAAAAACTTTCCTATGCCCTTATACCAGCTGAGGGCTTGACCTTTTAAGTCACCTTTTGCACCTTTTGCAGCTGATTCACAGGATGTAAGGTGAAATGTAGGTCCAGTTGCTCCAAAAACGTCAGAACTGAGCCCTTGCCATTAAGTGGTACTGTTGGCTTCATGGAGGCCCGCATCGCTTCCAAAATAAATCCAAACCCTTCCATAGGTTTCGTGAATGTCTGAGGGACCTGAAAGGTCGGAGGGGTCAACGTAAACTTCCCGGATTCTAACGACATGATCCGTTGAAAAACGTTTCGAGGGCCAAATGTAAAATTCTCACTAGTGTAATTCTCAGTTACTGTAGAAAGTGATGAATCTTAAGAACTAGTTAGCGAATAATTGCTTAAGTTCGTGTGACAAGAAACAACAAGATGGAAGGGTAACTAACCCTTTATTATTCCAATAAGATTTAACAAAACTCCGTCTTGGCGTGTACAATCAAAGCCGACACTTGGGCTTGAACTTGAGAGACTAAAAATTAAACTAAAACTAAGATTAACTAAAGAAATATAGCCGAAGCTATAAATATTCTAATCAAGTTGGCCCCTTAACTCTATTTGACTACGAAGCTTATCAAGGGCCTGAGTACGGCCGAACGTAATAACAGCCTTGAGAGAGAGAGTAGCCAAAAGCGTAAATCAGAAACTCTGATTCTCTCTGACTCTGTAAGTAACTTCGCGGTTTAAATACCGCTCCTCCTCATTAAGTAGTCAGAAAGATTCCAAAACTACGTTCTGACCGGAAGTAGTAAGTTGAAATTAAGAATTTTTTGACAGGAAAGGAACTTTATCTTAAAATTTAACTGTTAATAAAATTAACATAATCCTTACAAACTAATGTTGCTATTATTCATTAATTTACACATCAACTTATTTTATTTATAGTTTTTAATTGTAAAATAATTTGCAACAAAATTAAAATCCCATGTTATCATACAGATTTTTTTTTCCCCAATGCCCAGTTTTTTGCCCCGTAATAGTTGTTTATTCGCTGTTTGTTTATTTACATTAATCTTTACGTTCATGTATTCGATACGATAAAAATAGCTATATTTTACGATAAAAATTTTCATATCATTAACTTCTGTATAAAAATTTTTATTTGTAAAGGTTTTATAACTTATTTTTTACAATATATCACATACATCATGTGAAAATCATTAATCTGAATTTTTCACTGTTCTAACTTAACACTTTTAATCATTAATCTGAATTTTTCACTGCATTAAAAAAACTGCTTTTTGATGTATTGCACTATGCGAAAATACAAAAATGTATAGAAAAAATAATTATTATAGAGAAGTTATTGTTTAAGTTTTCCTTCATTTTTTTTAAAGAATGAGAGAAATATGAGATTTATTAAAACTTATGATAAATCATATTGAAATGAAAGTTACTTCTAAACGTTTTCATTTTTTAATTTAATTTATTTATTTATTTATTTATTATTTTCAGTCTACATATTTAATTTTTTTTTTGGGGGGGGGGTCAATCTTGAGATGATTTGGCTTGACTCTCCTAATGCATGCTTGTACTCTTTCTTTAAAAATTGGCTTTTAACAGACGGAAGTAAAATAAGGTGGCTTTCATAATGCCTCCAAACTTTTCAATATCTCTAGTTTGGGGTACAATGGCGGCATTTTTCGATTCAGGCGCAAATAGGAATCAATTTTCGGATTACTTGAATAGGTCATAATATCTTTCGTATAATGGCAAACAGCTAAGTCCCGTCGAGACAGGATATCCTCATTTTAATGATGTTGGTTGATGAAGGAATCAAACTTTATTAAAGTTGCTATGACTTATTTCATTTGCTTGACAGTAATATCAGAATAATATCTACGAATTTTATCATGGCTGAAGGGTGAAGGATGACATCTATCGCAGGCATGTGCTTTGGGCACCTTACAGGTGACAGTACGGAGGAGGACGGAGACAAGTTTCTCCCAGTCCTCTTCCATTACTACTCAACAGAACTTTTAGCTCGCCGTTTATTTCAAGTGCCTCTATGCTGCTTGCCAAGATGGTGAGTGCCGACTGAGCCTGTTCCCAAAACAGCCTCACGAGTTTTGTTCTCACTTCAGCCTTAGAGAGGAGACATCAGTCATTTTATTCCCAAATGAGCTCGACCGGGAAACACCAAACGATATTATTTGCAACACACTCTGTGTTTTTACACCCATTTTATGAATAAGAGAACATAACTAAGAGAAATCAGTGGTTTCATCGGCACAATACTTTTTTTATCGTGATTTATCTTTTTTATAATAGCTTATAAATGAAAACAATAATGAATCAATATTTTAGTTTTAATTTTATTTTGTATTAACCTCATTTCGCACATTTTCATCATTTTTATTACACGTATGTCTTCCAAATGGCTGTTAATTCTTGCCGGCATGATCTAAAACAACTCATTTAATGCTTCTGTACATCAGTTTTTGTTTCATCTAATATGCAATACGTAATTTTTCTCGTCATAATCTGTCTCTACGTCTGTCTCTACGTGAATTTCTCGTTTCGTTACGATATTTTTTTTTCGAACTTAATCGCATCGAGAATATCGCCATTGAAGAAGATCGATATCGCAGTTGAAGAAGGTATGTTGAATACGGACCAACGGTCTACTAATGCTTTTGTGAAGATGAATATTTGATAGGTGTTGTTTGCGTTTTATTTTGCAATTTCCAGTAAAATCTTCCAATTACTTACATTTTATTGGCCTTCCAAAGAGTATAGTGGTTAGGGGATCCTGACTGCGATATCGAAGGGCCCGGGCTCAAATATCGCGGAGAAGGCATTGGATGTAAAATTGTCCGTTCCTTCATAGGAGGTAACGGTGGCTGCCTATTAGGTGCCTCCACAATAAAATGGCCACCATGGAGTGGCCAATGCCGTTATAGGCAAGTGCCCGCCATTGGGGGGGGATATTTGATTTAATTTCCTATTGCAAATTTTCACGAGAAATCCACGTTTTCATTATTTTGTACAGAAAATTGAGCGGCAAAAAATTTCCGGCCACCTTGCTTTAAGCACGGTAAAATCAAGTGACCCAAGAAAAAACATTGCTGGTAGCCCATTAGTCCTTTTTTAGTAGCCTCTCCCTCGGTTGCGCTACATATGTACATATACGAATTAACCCGGTATACGCTGATTCAGTATCCGCGGTTTCACTTATCCGCAGTTCAGAACGTCTGTGATGTTAATTAAAACTTAATGTTTTTCGTTTCTAATAATGTTTATTCTTCCGCTATTTACAATGAGTTTTTTTTAAAATACTAATTTAGGTAACCAGATGAAATTATCCTCCAGATAAACTACTTGAAAAACATTTAAATTATATTTTTTTTCCTGCTAATTATGATATGGGTTATTTCTTTCCCGACTTGCTGTTGGATTAAAAATTGATGCCGTCCTCGATATTACCACTGAAATTAAGAGTTGATTGGAAAAGGTAGATCACAGAAAAATTGATGTAGATTGTAGACGATCATAATTAATCTTCATCAATGCTGTATTTCGGTTACAGGATGACAAGCTTTTAGTTTCTATAATTAGGGCAGATTTTTTCTCCCTAATGCAAATAAAAACAGAAAACAGCTACAGACTGAAAGGTATTAATTCTGTTTTTTTCCAGGTTATGATTCAAAAGATGACTCGCGGGCCGTTATCGGTACGTCACCACAGCCACCGTCTCAGCACCAATCCTACTACGGCAACCAGCGTAGTCCAGCCGATTACAGCGACGGACGCAGTCCGCAGCCATCTCAGCCGCACAAGGACGTCGGCGTCTCCGGCGGCAAGGCCAAGAAACCCCGGCGCAGGCGAACCGCCTTCACGCAAGCTCAGCTGGCTTTCCTAGAGCGGAAGTTCCGGTGCCAGAAATACCTCTCGGTGGCCGATAGGGGGAGCGTGGCGGAAGCTCTCAGCCTCACCGAGACCCAGGTCAAGACCTGGTACCAGAACAGAAGGTAAAGAGGGAGTTTGTTTTGTTATGTGTAGGTTTTCAGATTTTCCCGCTTTCAGCTTTAACGGCGAAACAAATAGTTAATTTTCCTCCAGCAGTGTTATTGGCCATCTTGGCTTAGATATGGATTTGCGATTGCAGAAAATCTGAGAACTCGGTTGTTTTGATTGACACGTTAGATTACCATGGTAACCAGGAAAAAGGAAGAATGCGGCAAATGGTCGACACTGGGTCGGATGGGCAGCTTCTCTGTTGGTACGGGATCGAAATAGCAATTCAGAAACCGGTTTCGATCCATACTCGATAATCCACTTCCTAAATATAAGTCTACGGAAATGTTGATTAAACGCTGGTGTCTATCATATACGGTGTCGATTCTGTGCAATGACAAATAGCGTTAATACTCTTACTCATTATATAAAAAAAAAATATTATGTTGATCATATGCTGGTGTCGATCCTGTGCCAGTGTGGATTCTACGTTGCGTCGGCATTAGGCGTTCTATGCCAAACGTTGCGCATTTTTGCTCCTACTGTCTCGATTCTTTGGCAAATTGATTTTATCCTCTTACTCACTATCATATTATAATCAAAATGTTTATCATGTCGAGCATATGCTGCCGTTGATTCTATGTCAGTACGAATTCTACGTCTTTTTGACGTTACGTATTGTACCTTTTATACAGTGTCGGTTCTACGCCAAGTCGAAGTTACGCATTGTTGCTTCTACGGAACCTGGACTCAGTGTCTAATTCCGTTAATCCTCTTACTCACTATCAGATTATAATCAAAATGTTTATCATGTGGATCATATGCTGCCGTTAATCCTGTGTCAGTGTGAATTCTACTCCATGTTGACGTCAAGCATTGTCGCTTTTATGCAGTGTCGATTCTACGCCAAGTCGACGTCACGCATTGTTGCTCCTACGGAGTCTCGAATTTGTGGCAACTTCCGTTAATTCTGTTACTCACTATCAGATTAGAATCAAAATGTTTATCATGTGCATCATATGCTTGCATTAATCCTGTATCAGTGTCAATTCTACGTTACTTGTCGACGTTAGGAATTTTCCCTTCTATGCAGTGTCGATTCTATGGTATTTCGACTTTACGCATTGTTACTCTTACGGAGTATTCTTGCTGTGAATGTAAACAGATTCATTGCTGTCGATCCTGATTAGGTATCCTAAGAAAAATAATAAATTTAGTCAAATTCTTATTCTCTTGATTATGAGCTTTTCTTAATTATAAATCTTGTCTACGTTACGCCAAAAATACACTGTATCCCAGTATCGATTTTATGCAGATTCAATCATGCGCATGTATTAGTCTTGCACCTTGGCGTAACGATGTCGTAGACGTTACGCATTGTGGATCGTATGCCTATGATTACACTATGCAGATGACAAATGTACATTAATTCTCTTATTCATTTTTACAATACAGTAACAATTCCTTTCTTATCGTGTCCATTTGTATGCCAGTAAGTATGTATTTGTATGTCGGTCGTATAATCGTGTCGATTCCATGGTGTGGTTCCTATGAAGTTTTAAATCCTCCACAGTGTCGGTTCAATGCTATATGGGTTCCATGCTTGAAATCCGAAAAATAATTTTACTCCCTCTGTTTTTTTTTTTTTTTTTTTTTTTTTTTTTTTTTTGCTGTACGAAACGTTCAAAGAAATTTTATAACAACTTCACATTTCTAAGATGCTGCATCGAAAATGACTAAAAACTTTCTATTAGCATTATTTATGTTGTTACTGTTATCATTATAACTATTATTATTATTATTATTATTAAGAGGAGAGAGGAGGAAGAGAAAAATCAAGATTCCTGGTCGATAACATATAGGCAAATTTTTGCAAATATTTATTTAATTATATTTACGAAATAGGAGAAAAAAATAAATATAAGAAATCAAAATGCAGTAATCTTTGAAAGCTTCTATGGAAGATATCAAAACAGTGCCCCGTCATAAAGATGCCCGCACCCTTATACGGTCTTTCTCCAAATTACAGGCTGAGGTTCATTAAGGCTCTTATCACACATTCATTTATTTCAGACGAACAACTGTTTCAGAAAATGTTTCTACCTGCTTTACCATTAAAAGGAAGACGCACGAGTTTTTCCTATCTTTCACAAAAATTGTAAGTTGGTCGTTTTCAACAACGAATTAGTTATCGGCATCGAATGCCCTGTTATCAACCCTCCTTTGTATAGGGGTACTATTTTTCCCTATACATGGTAACCCCAAAACGATTCGCGGTGATTGTCTGTTTCATATGGTGTGACAAAGCAGAAAAAATTAGAACTAAACAGTTGTTCTTTCAAAATTTTTTGAATGTGTGATAAGACTTTAAGCGTGCCCTCTTCACCAGTGCCGAGAGGCGAAGACCGCTGAATACTAGTAGCTCAACGCTGGTTCGAGCCCACGCGAAGGGGCTGACGACGTGGATGATTTTCAATGTGTGTAAAGCGAATACAAACCAGTTTCCGTTAGAAAGTTCTCCACGAACACTTCATTGTCCTTAGGTAGTTAGCTGTCGTGAGTTTTGCCATAGTCAATATAAATCCAACTTAATTATAACCAGTCCAACTTAATTATAGCTAATCCAACCTAATTATAAATTACAGCCCATTTAAAACATATAATAATTGTAAAAGGGCGCGCATCTTGATTTTGGGCATTTTTATGAAGGTTTCGGTCTTTTAAACTTGCGGCCCACCTGCGTAAGGGGGCCAAAACTTTTATAACGAGGCACCCTAATGAAACAGTCCCATATATAGTTTGCTGAAACTTTAAAAAATATTTAAATAAATTAAAAATTTAAATGAAGTCAACTAATTGATAACTTACGAAGTAATTTAATTTATTGAATAATGAAATATGTTAAAAATTTGAAAAATATTGAACTGAATTTCTTGAAATATCGCTGTATAATAAGTTTAACTTAATGCCTGTTTATTTTATGTAAATTATTTATTTATTATTTATTTGCCTAAACGTCCCTTTTCCCCTTACGAAAGAAAATGAAGCCTTTTTCGTAAACAGCGAATTTATCAACAGTTTCTCCTCAATCACTCTCAATGACCTGGGAATCGAGCAAATCCATTTAATCTAGATTTAATTTTAACAAACATCTGATTTAAAGAGATTTTGAAGAATATATCTTTTAAACTTCTTATTTATTTTCCTTTCTTTCGAAAAGTAAGAAGGGCTCTTCTCTTAAGTAAGAATTTTTGCTTCATCATATGCTAGGCATTTCAAAACTAATTGAACAAACCTTTAGCGGGCAATAGAACTCTCTGAAACAAACATTTTTAGGGTATTAAACTAAATAATAAACTAATGCAATTTAATAAACTAAAATAATAAACTAATGCAATTTATATTTCACCAACAGGACGAAGTGGAAGCGACAAAACAGCCAGCGACTAGAACACTTGCGACAGCAGTCTCAAGGGGTTTCTAAGGATGTCCCAGGGCCAGTAATGGGCCCCACTCCACATCCCCTCGATGGCCCTCTCGTCTCTGCCACCTACTACGGCGCATGCGTCGTGCCCACGTCCAGCGCAAGCGCAGCCTGCCTGCTGCCTCCGGGCATCTTAAGGAATGTGTATGTGCCCGGCTATCAAATATGAACTTGAGTACATAAGTACGAATTGTACTAAAGCAAATCACCAGCTCTCCATGCATTGAGAAGTGTACATTTAATTTAAAGTCATAACGAAGGATTGTCTTATAAATTTAGTATTTTTTACCCACACGCAGTTGCTTTCTTCTTTATGGTTACTACATTGTGTACTCTAAAAATAGGGTCATAATCGCTCAACAATGGAAAACGAAGTATCCAAATTAAACGATACTACGATCCATTCGGCTATTTGCAAAATCTGAATAATTTAAGGTTTCCTTCTCCGTTTAGGCCAATGATTATTAACAGTAATGTATTGGCCAAATATGTATTGACTATTATACACTATGTCAGTTCAGTAAATGCGTAAAACTATACGCATACAAATAAAAAAACACTTTCAATATGTAAAAGAAAAGAAAATCTTGAAAGATTCAATTTTGAACATCGCACCAGAAAGTTTGTTGAGGTTTTTTTATGTTCTTAGCTCCCAGTTTATCATTCATCTCTAACACAATTTTTTTAGTCTTTTAACTACAAATTTTAATAACAAATTTTTAAAAGCAGCATATTTTTAGAATTCTCGACAGAATGTTAAATGTTGCCACACATTTTTTAAAAATATTTGTTGGATTAATTATTTAAACGGTATCTTTCAAGATTTCTTTAACGATTTTTTTATACATGGCTGTAACACTAGGTGGCAACGCTCTTTTATTTGTGTTACCAAACAATTTGTTTTTATACTCTATGCTGTTTTTTAAAAAATAACACATGGCGATAACGTTTCGTGACATCTTTTATTTGAAAAGTAATACAGGGACAAAGATGATGCGGGGAAAAAGTATGAATTGAGATCGCAAGTGTTAAAAACTTTTCGGAACAGCTAGACACATTAAAGGCAAAAAAAAATCCAAAAATTAAACCAGCGATCGATGCATAAAAGAGAAGAAAATAAAGAGAAGAATTAAAAAAGTAAAATGAAGTGTTACATATCTCGTCACGGTGTTGATAATACGAGATAATGAAACATGAGAAAATGTTTATGACCTACATAACGAATAATTTAATACTGCCAAAAATTAAATTCGAATGAACAAATGAATGCTTATTCAGAAGTCAAACAACAAAAGTGTGTCTTAATTAAATGAATGCTTTTTGCACTTAACCGCCTGCGTCAACCCCATGTTACCAGACATATAACACCTCATTTTATTTTTTGAATTATTTTATTTATTCCAGTGCTGCGTAACCGTTTTAACCTCGCGGTACACCTCAGAAACATAAATAATAGCACAACACACTACGAAGGAATGCCTTTCTACTGACATGATCATTTTTTCTATTTCAGATTCGGAATTCAATTAATAAGATCTTCCTTTTCAAACATTTTTTAATTATAATGTATCAACACCCTAGCTACACATTTCTTTCAGGTAAGTCCTGATACGCTGCCATAAGCATGAGATAAGCGAAATGAATGGAATAAAAATACATAATCCGTACATCTTCTGACATTGATGTTTGGCACACATTTTGTATCGCGTCTATAACTATCAGATTTGATTTGTGAACATGCGACTATAAAAGTATGATGTAAAAATACAGAAGATAAATTAAACGTATTTATTACGCATAAATATATTAATAATAATATTTTCACGACGCAATTAGACATTTTAAGTACTACTTACTATACTTTTAAGTATGAATATCTGCACAATGCCGATAGTCACAAAAGTCCTTACCCAGCCTTTGTTCCTGTTTTGGCATTTTTACATTTAACCACTGAATCGTTTGATTCCAAGAGAGTGTCTCGTCCGATTTGAAAAGTATCGTCAGTAGCTCTGAGCCTTAATGCAATATATATAGATATATATTTCATGTAATTATTTGGACATTTATGACAGCCATTGAATTTTTGATATTATTTGAATTATTAAAATCGTTCAAAGCTATTAAGGGCATTTTTAAAATCGACGAAGTTGTCTCGGGGCAAATTCTGAATCGGTTAAGTCAGTTAAATTACGAAAATCAGCTCTTAATACGTTCCTCCAATTCTTGTTTTTATATTCAGGAAAATGTAAACTCTTTATAAAAAAGAAACACAAAAAGTTTGATTCTCATTGAACCAAAATATCTAATTCCAAAATTTGCGATTTTTGACGTCATTTTCAATTTGTATTGAGGAATCCGTTAAATAAATTGGAATTCCAGGTTGAGTTTTTTCCATTGGAAAATATTCAATCATATTCCTCCGTAATTTACTAGTGTCTGTAATTTTTAATTTTGTTGCATTTGGTCTGCCGAATGAATTTTCGCACAAGAAATTTTCAAGTTTTCAAAGTTTAAAAAGTTATTAATACTTTCCTGAAGCTTTATTATTTTAATTAATCATACGAATCGACCTTCTAATCAATCATACGAAAAATTCATGAAGCTACAAGTATTTTTCGTTTTAAACTGGTGCAAATAATACAACAAATTTGTTGAGTGCCAATAATAAAGCCTGACATTGTTTTCAAGGATAGGAATTCTATAAGATTCAAGGAATAAGTGTCCATTTTGAAAACAATTTATATTGATGACTACTTTTCATAATAATCTGAATTGAAATGCTCGTCGCTTAATCTCTTAACATCAGAAACATTTTCCTAAATTTATATTTTACTTTTACGTACAAATGCAAATATTTCGCTCTTCAATTTGTGTACTGCATCTATATATGACGTTCGAATTTAATACCAAATACCTCGGTTAGTTTTTATCGTACGAGATGTGTTTTATTACGTCCTTGTACGAAAAATACTACACCACACAATTTCAGCAACACATACGAAATTACTGGAAGCTTGGCTGGGAAATGATGTCGCATCGCCCATACAGTGCTGTCTTCTGCACCATTGGATTATTACATATTTTGAACTTTACAAAATTTCTTAAATGCTAAAAATTTCAGCAATAACGATGACCTCAAATCGCACTTGGTTGAGTTTTTTGCTGATAAAAACCAGACGTTCTATGAGCGCAGAATCATGATGTTAGCAGAAAGATGGCAAAAGGTCATCGAACATAATAGAAGATACTTGACTGATTAAAGTTCATTTTTATATAGAAAAATCGAGTTTTATTTCACCCTAAAAGAACCGCAATTACTTTCTTGCCAACCTTGAGCTCTGGACCATGAGCTCTGGACAGAACTTTCACTCTCTGTCAACAAACTTGAGTTACGGAACAACGAATGCTGGTGCTCTGATCCAATTTCATCACACAGTGTTGGAATATATATATATATATATATATAAAAAAAAAAAAAAAAAAAAGGAAACGATTGAAGTAGGCAATTTTTGACTACATTTACTATTACAATAATTTCATTAAATGTGGACTTTAATTCTGGAGATACGAGAGCTTCTTTGATCATCAGGACTTTCAGGTTGAACTCTGGATGACAACGTTCCGACGCTTCCTATACTTGCAGCCTTACTAACGTTAAACTTAACGTAAATTTTACGCAAATATTTTGGTATAAAAATGCCAAAATATTTAATGATGACTTGTATTCTTTGATGCGTCAAATTTAACTGTTCTAGAAAGATTCTTTTTTTTTTTTCCTTCCCTTTTTTCTGTTATTTCTGCTAAATATACTACAAATTTTGGTTCGCAGCTATTCACTGAATAGTTTATCTTATTTCTTTTATTTTACAAGTCAAACAACAAAAATCAGGGTTATATTTTCAAGTTTACCACGACTATTTTTGATGGTTTAACCACCGAACCAACTTTCTCAGCTGCAAACAGCAAATGAACGAGACAAGACAATCTCATTTTGGATATGAATTCCTGGGGTATTTACAAGATTCCTTGCCAGCGTGGTTTAATTTACATTGGTCAAACTAAGACAGCCTTAAAATTTCGCGTTAAAGAAGATGAGGCATATGTTAAGGAAAAGGAAGCACAGAAGTCCTCTGTTACCCAGCACTGTTGGTCCGAAAATCACACTTTCCCTTTTTCTGCAACCAAAATTATTCAAAAATCATCTTCCATTGGTGAATTAGATTTTCTAGAGGCGTTACACATTTAAATAAAATCTTTTTGATCTAGTTAACGACCCTAATTCCAATGCATCTTTGCCTTCAGCCTTTAAGAAAATTTTGTTTTCGTTTACTCGTTTCATCAATAGATGGCGTCAGTAGCTTAACTCCTGTCCAGCCATTCCTATCTTATCACTATATCTTATCTCTTCATTTACACTTTGGCAGCTGAGAAAGATGGTTCGATAGTTAAACCATCGAAGCTAGTCCTGGAAAATTTGCAAATATACTGCTGCTTTTGTTTTGTTCAAATTGTTGTTTGACTTCTAAAATAATCGTTGTTCGGCGTAGTAGTTTAACATTATTTCATTTATTTATCGGTTATTTTAGCGCACACATATATATACGTTTAATATAAAAATGAAATAATTTACCCTTGATAAATTCATGAAAAGTTTAAAATTCAGTAGACCGATGATGAACAGTGATAATCCTGAAACTCGCAAGATTTAGCATAATTCAAAGATAAATAAATAAATAAACCGCTTAATTAAAAAACTGAAATATAAAAAAAGGATTACATTAAAGAAAAAAAAAAGCTAATATTACTAAAAATGTAAGGGGGTTTCTGACTCTCTCTCTGAATTTATTGGAGAATACGCATCATTATCAGGAAAGCATATGTTAAAAAGTGTCGAAAATATGTGAATGGTGCATGCATTTCATATGCAAAAAATCATTTCAACACAATTTTTATTAAAAATTTTAATGTATGTTTCGTAAATGTAGTTTTTAATTTATTAATTGCTCTCCATTGTGTAAATTTAGTAGCTGAGATGTATTTGCCTTTCATAACACAAAATGTAGAAATCTGGTTCTGTTGACGTTATGCGTGAGAGCATTTCACATCCAGTATCCATATACCTCAGCGGCCGAGCGGGAAAATCGCTGTACACTAGGAGGTAGTTCCGACCTGAGTTAAATTCCAGGCGAAAAGGCTGGCTTCATGGGCATTTCCATGTTTTTCTCCGTAGCGTGTATACGAACCAGTTTTCCTTAGAAAGTCATCCCCGAATGCATCCCTCGCCTTAGGCAGATAGCACTCGCGTGCCTTGCCATGTTAAATAAACCAAACCAATCAACATCCAGTATTTCATCGATTTTATTTTTGTTTGCCACGTCTCG